ATATAGCAAAATGATTTACATATAGCTGGATAGAGGATTCAATGTTCTACAAGTGGTGCTAGTTTTGAAGTTTTGAACTACTTTTAAAACTATGTAAAAACTTTGAAAGTTTAAAATTTTTCGACAAAATTTCAAATCCTACTTTTTAGTAAAACATTCGAATCTCAACAAGGAAGCCTTGCCGCAAAACCAAACTTGCAGAAAAACAGCATCCTAGTCAGGGCTATAAGTGCTAAAAATTTGAGCAAAATTCATTTTGTCCAAACCGAGATATGCCCACTTTGGTGAGTAAAGACTGCCAATGCCTGTGCATTTTTATGAACAACAAAAAATAATTTTTCGCATTTAAGTGTTGTGACTCAATAAGAAGGCATAGATCTAAACTCACTATTAGCATCGATAAGCACACTGGAGTGCTCCACTGCTCTACCCATGTATTTGATTCAGTCACATGGACACGTTTTCTTATGCTACCCCGTTTCTTCTATTTTGTAATTATATACGGATGATGTGCACATTGTCGATCGCGAAAAAGGTTCTAGTATAATCTATGTATTGTATACCTACATTCTTTCCTAATCGTTTACCGTTCGATTAATGTGGATGAGATAAATTCTAGTATGTTCTATCATAAGCACTTGGTTAGTATGTATAGAAAGTGGTATCAGCTTGAAAATAATCGAGATAGTTATCTGAAGCACCGTATATAGCAAATGATTCGAAATTATAATGACTTTTGTCTTTGCCAGGTCATAAGAATCCTCTCTCTTCTCTCATGTTTCTGGCATCATCGTATCACCATGAGCACACCCGATATATAATATATATCTATACTTCTTTCTTTTGCGTTCTGTCGACACGCACGTATTTTCTTCTGTTTCGTTCTGATGTGTTTAAGTGCATTTCTCTCTCTTTTTCGTTTCTATATATATGCTACAGCTCATCATTTTACATGTATCTTCTCTCTCTTCCTTTCCTGCTACCGCACATGACGTCATGATCTCTCTCTCTTTTCCGCTCTTCCAAAATGCTGTCATTCCAGAACTTTCGAGTAGCTGACCACTCTCTACTGCTCTACTCTGAAAAAAAAAGGAAGTTTGCAGAACCCCTCAAAAAGGTTCTGTAGATTTCTAAAAGCATCCAAATGTGTCCAAAGTCTCAAAAAACGGATAAAAAATTCGACAGAACCTTTTGAGGGTTCTGTCTTTTACCCAGTNGTATGTCTCTCTCTCTGTATGTCTCTCTCTCTGTATGTCTCTCTCTCTGTATGTCTCTCTCTCTGTATGTCTCTCTGTATGCTTTTCTCTGTATGTCTCTCTCTGTATGTTTTTCCTCGTCTCTTGATAGAAACGCGTTGAAGTGGAACGCAGGTATAAAAGAGAAGGAAATAGCGAAATAAAGGCAGTTGAAAACACGACATATCGTTTTGATCGTTACAACAATCTTGCTGACCAGATCCTCTCAGTAGTATAGAAGCTGAGCTGAAATCTTTTTTTATGGAAACGTTACATCATTGACCATTCAATCACTTTCTGGAAAAAGTTTTTTTTTATTCAATTTTTTTCGCCGATTAGGTGGAAAGCGGATGGAAAATAGATTTGGTGGCAAAAAATAATTTCTCTTCAGTTTCTGTGCTTTTGAGAGGAATTGGTGACCAGATTATATATTTCAAAAAAAAATTCAACTCGACCTTCTGTACTTCTGAGAAGAAGATTTCGTGACCAGATTGTGTCATTTGGAAGAAATTTTTTGACAGTTCAAATGGTTTCGAGAAGAAGAACTTGTGAGCAGATCTTATATTTTGAAGAGAGTTTGTTTTCAGTTTCTATGCATTTGAGAACAACTGATCATCAGACTCTGTTATTTTGAAAAAATCCGTCAGTTTCAACGGTGTTTTTGAGCATAACTGAATGATCATGTTAGTTCCTTTATCAATCGAGAAGCAGCACACCTCGATTTATCTATATTGATGATATATTTTTAAAAAGATCCTAAATTAAAGTCTCAACTTGGTCAACAGTATCTACTTATTTGTTTATAGTCCACATATGTCGAATTCGGTTTAGAAACTAATTTAGGGAAGGACAATTTCTAGCAAATGATAGCCTAACCATGATATTAGCTACTCCGGTCCGACTCTCTTCTATCCGTCTTCATTTTCATATTTATTCGATTTCTGGTGACCAGTGTTGACTGATTGACAAAACAATTCTTGCTAAAATCGTTGCTTTCCATGGTAGAAGATTCTTGGTATGGTAGAACAAGGATGACAATTGATCACAATATGTATTATATTCAAAAACAAAATATCCCTAAATTGAAAAATTCCCCGTATTTGGTCACCAGTATGAACGTCAATTGAATAGTTATCGACAAATGTGGATTTCATTTAGGGATGAATAGAGGGAAGGTGATTTGTGGTAAATGATAATCTACCCATTGGATAAACGCATACAATATGAAAAGATTTTATAAGACAAATTACGAAAAGAACATTATTAAAATGAACATGAACATACGTAAAAAAGAAACACAACCTTTAAATTTATAAGGAGAATTTGAAGAAAGATATATGACATATGAACGATTTAGAAAAACGTTTCCGACAATTAAATGTTCAACTTGATCTGATATGATTTCAAGAAAACGATAATATTCGACAAAAATATTCATCAATTAGAATGAATTAAACGTACACTTGATAACGAATTCAATAAATATTCTTCTATAGAACATTTATCGATAAGGGTCAAGTTTTCGTCATCCAAGATAAATCTTTTATGAAGCCGGTTAGACAACGATTGTTGATCATAGTTTTCTACTTAATAACACATTTCCTAACTGGACATTTCGTATAGTTTTTCTATCAATGCCAATTAGATCGAAACATCTTGCTTATAAACGACAACTAGACATGAACGGATTGACTCGTTTGTGTACAGGCAGAAAACTTTTGGGTCTCGATCGAGCAAAGAACTAACATAGACCGGGACCATTATGCCCATCTCAAGATCCAAGATAAAAGATAGTTTCTGGTCATTCCAAGCGAATTTTTTTCAAACATTAACAATCTTTTCAATGAATATATAGAAATTCTCTCCGAATGATAGATTTTACAGTCGAATCTTACGAGACGAGATCCGGTTAGATTCATTCATCTATGTTCGGACTTTTTCTTAAAAGCAGATTCCTTAATAACTTTCTCTTCTCTATGACTAATGTGTAAGATCTCAAATGAAAATTCCTTGACATACACAGAAAATGTTTGAATTACATCGATTAAATGCTTTAACAATGAATATTTACCGTTGTCAATGGTCGAATATCGATATGAATCGAATGACGACGGATTCATACCGAGTTATCATAGATAATGGGGAATCGAATTGAGACCTATTTTCTCATCATTAGTTCAAAACGTGACTATTTTTAATGCATAATATAAGCATTGGATTGTATATGCCTGATAACATTGAGAAGAATAAATGTCTTGTTGTTTACTATTCGCCACGAGACTAAATATATGATGTTTCGATAGATGGTGAGAGGCGTATATAGTTCTTTATTGAGTCACTAGTCGTACGTCAAAGCAGGATTTTCCAAATGTTTTTCGTTATGAATATGAACTATAAATACATCTATAAATGGTAAAATAATCACCATATTTGATCAAAATATGGTGGAGAAATCGAGAGTTTTTGTAGTGTAGTGTGACTGTTTGGAACATCAATATATAGTTACTTCGGAAAATATTCATCGTCACCGTTCTAGTTAAATAAAATAGCCTTATGATATATTGTTTGTTGTCATTATTGTCTGGTGTCTCTTCATACGATTCCTGAGATTATTTCTTCTTTAATTATTTATCAATCACAGCAAAACATGTGTGTGGTTAGATAACACTATATTTAATGCATATCGTTTCGATATACTATTTTGATCTTATTCGTAGAATTCTACTGTTGATAATTATTATATTAAGATATTTAAATTATCGTTATATTCACTTGACAAGAGATTTCTTTATCAATAATTTTCTGATCGTCAATTAGTTCGAATAATTCTTATTAAAATAATAATTTTTATTATTATTAATTACACCCTATAGTATTCTTATTATTTATAATTCTATTCGAGCTAATCTTGATAAACAGAGGTATGTTCAGATTTCCAAAAAAGGAAATTACCTATATTTCTGAAATTTCCATCAGCTCGATTACTATATAGCAGTACAAATCAAAAGTTTTTAGACATATTGGAAATTTCAGCAATTTTGGAAATTACATCATTTTAGGAAGTAACGTTCAATTCCGAACACAAATGCTTGAAATCTCCGAAACTTTCGAAATTTCCTTTTTCGGAAGTCTGAACACTGCTGGATAAACATATAAAAAGATTAGAAAAATAATATTTCTAAGAAACAATTCTGCTTGCTTTATTTAATAATAATCTCAATTCGTTTTCGTGAAAGAGGAAATGATCGAATATATTGGTGATGAAGAACGAATCAAGATTCCGAACCAATCATAAATGTTAAACAAAATAAAAAACAACGTCAACAATACAAAAATTTATTATCTATTGTGTTTTTAATCATCTATTTATTCTTCTTTAACTACAAAATAAAATTCGATGTTGTCTGGTCAATAACGAAAGATGACTGATATATTTATCTAGACTATTGAAACACCGATTGTTGATAAATAATTATCAAAGAATGGTTTAAATATAAGTAGAATCGAGCAAACAAAATAATTATTTGACTCACTGAACAAATAATATTGATTAAAATCTTGAAAAAGTCAAATGATTTCATTAGTGATAGGGATGTGTATGGATGAAGAAAATATCCTCATCTATCGTGCACACACCTTCTTTGACTCTTCTCAAGGCAATTATTCTTTTTCAGCACTTCTATATGAATTTTTTTTTTTCAATGTACGTAAGTTCACCTTGTTATCTTTGTCACTGTTTTCATATTATTTAAAAAACAACAATATTTATTTAAGATAAGGAAAGTAAGTATTATATTGTTTAGGTAATTGTGATAAACCATAAAGATAAAGTTGTTTTACTTTTGAACAATTATATCGTGTTGTATTTCTAGTGAAATATTCTGTTACACGTTGTAATTGATCATAATGAATTGACAATTGAATATAATTTGATAGATAGGTTTTTGTATCAAGTAAAAATTGTTCAGCATAATCATCATGAACATGCACAAGATGAAGTTTAGTCAGATGATAATAATTAATAATTGAATATTTTTGATTTTCATTATTGGACTTTTGTTGCTCGGAATTAATTATAGTTAATTCTTTAAGAAAAGGAAATGATTGAGAAATTTTAATAAAAAATTCATGTTCAAAAGGACGTTCGTCAAATAATTCGATTTGTTGAACAGTATTAAATAATCCACCTGGAAAATTATTAGTTAGATTTTCATAATATGTTAATGTATATGGACATGAGTAAATATGACATTGACCATATTTTGATTTTGGAAAATAATCAACACAAGAAGTAACTTGATTATCTTTGAAATTTATAAATGTACGACGAATATCTTCATTTGATGGAAAATAATTTAGATTGTCATAGTTAATCATTGATCGAATATTAAATATAAACTGATTCAAACGAGGCATATGACTTATAATATTCTTCTGCAAATTATTCCCATCTATAAATATATCGTCGTAATCAGCCATAAAATATAAAGCCAGCTTTTCCAGATTAATCATCCGTTGTAAATGTGGCACAATAACTTCATCATAAGCACATATTAGACTCTTGCATGTCAAGGAAACATGTTTCAAATTTGATAGTCTTTCCTAGAACAAGAATTTATATGACCATTTCGTAGAAAAAATCACATTGATTTTCAAAATAATCTCTCTATAAGAATTTACCTTGTTGATAATTGATCTTTGAAGAGGAAGAATATGAAATGTCTTCACAAATAATATACGTAGTTGATTGAAACGACCGTCGAGTAGAAAAAGACATTCATCAAAACGGTAGACAACTATATGTAATTCTACAAGAGTCGGCGATAAAAACATTGGAGATTCTACACCAAATGATATATACGCTGTACCAATAGGTACTGATGTATACAATTTGAAATGACGAAGTTTATTACACATAATTAAGATATTCATAAAGATTTCTGCTTGTCGATTGATTTCCAAATGATCTCGTAGTAGATCTTCTTTTCCGTTAATATTTAGTGTCACAATTTGATTTTGAAAAATGTGAACTAGAGATGATGTGTCTATATAGAAATATAAAATATTAATTCTCATCATCAAATCCTTCTTGTGTGTGTGTGTGTTTGTGCTTTTTTTTGAAATCACTCGTCACATATTGTGACATGTTCACATATCCTACTGATTACACATTGTCACTCTCTTGTTGAAAGAATAAACTTATTAGAACTCTTTTTCTTTGAATCGTTGTTTCGTTCAATATCCATCCTTATATTTCCGCAAGAATTTACTCATCTGAAATAAAAAAAACTCTAAGTAAAATTTAGATAAGTAGTTACAGAATACTCTCGTTTCCTTGATGAAAATCAAAGAAATGGCGAACAACTCTTATTTAACACATTAAATTATGCTACTTTCTATTATTTAAAAAAAATTTTCTATTATATTTGTTGTGATAAGATTCTTTTCATCATGAAATATTCTTTGAATAACTTTATTTCTACTTCTCTATTTCAACTTGCAGATTAATTCTAATCATAATTCGTATGAAAACTTTCTAGTCGTCGTAAAAAGTAAATGTTTGTGTATTGATAATAATTCTCGTATTCAATTATAGAATATAATTATAATCCTAGTATTTACACATATCAATGTCAATAAAACAAATCCTATTAATATTCGAATCATTTTTAACTATTTTTTCTTTCTCTATGTATATATATTCGTATCGTGTTTCTATGCAAGAGACAGGCAATTCAAATATTCACTAAGTTTTTTTCTTGCATTTTTTTCACATTATTTGATACAATCTGACCTGCTAATCACAAAAGACTATTTTTTAGCGTTAGTAAATACTTTTTTCGGGTGAAAAAATACGAAAAACTGGAAGGATATTGTTGTCTTAAATAAAGGCATTCTTATAAAAATCTACCATATATTTTGCTTCGTGCTTTTTCTAACCTGTTCAGAATATTTCTTCGGATACACCATCAAAAACTGCTTCGACTAATGTATATTTTCAACGTTTTCATCACCTTGGATTTTTTTTTGGTGAGAATCAGTTATTACTGTTTCAGGTGAAAACTCGAAAAGAACTAAAGTCATTCTATACGAGAAAATTCTACATCAGTCGAGTCATCTTTTAATGCCAATGTCCGAATATGAGAGTCTCTCTCTCTTCAAAAGATTTTATTGTGATAAAGAAAGTTGAGAATTACAGCCAACAGAATTCAATCTATTCATACCAGAATTCATAATCAATGGATTCTCTCGGTAACGAAACATCATAGAACAAAAAGAACGAATCGTTCGTTTTGTGGTGAGTGCTATGTTACATTCAATGAAATAAAATATTTGATTTCATCACTGACGTTGAAAAACTATAGAGGTTTACAAAAACGACTTATGTACGTAGCGCTGGGTGTGATTCTGAGTGGCACCGTAAAAAGATTTCGGGACTGAGAATGGGTCTAATAGCTTTTTTCAACTCACTTTTTGATATTATATCCGAAAAACTATTCTTAGTAGCTTAAAAAAACGAACGAAACAAAATATATGTCACATGTCGAGAAGGATGGATTTATTGAAGACAACGACATCCTTACAGTTTTCCTGTTTTTTTTTATCCGAATAAATGATTTACTAACGGTAAAACGTAGTTTTTTGTAATCATCAGCTCATGCTCCATTAAATGACGTACAGAAATCTAATAAAAAAAAATTTTATTGGAAATTGACATTGCTTGCACCTTAAAGGTGAGATACTCATTTATGGAAACTTCTATATGATATTTGTCTTGTTTACAACTGATATGGCACATTTTATTAAACATATATGATGAAAATATGTTCATTTTCAATGTAAAACAAATATGTTCTCTATTAATTTGTCAATGTCTATCGTATGATTAAATTATTAAAATAGTCATAGTGGAATATCTTACTAGTAAATAATTGCATGTCAGTTTCTGTATTCATAATAAATATATCTAATTGTCTTAAATTCGAATAATTATTAACAGCAAGAAGAATACGTTCCATAGATAATGTTTCAAGTTTGAGCCATTGGATTTTGTCATGAATTTTTGGTAATATTTCTCGACAAAATCGATCACGTACAAAATCAGATAATGGAGAAGTGAGTTTAACTGGTGTGGTTTGTTTCATCAATGTTATTTCCCTAGTGAATATCGGATCAGATACAATTTGATTGAGTCGCTTGTTAATATCCATTAAAGAATAAAGTATTTCAACATTTTTCAATTTCTTGAAAATAATTAATAAAAGCTCGTCAGGTAAATCACATAATTTAATATGTTGACATTCCATATTTATGTTAACATTGACTTTTTCTTATTTTATTTATAGTTCATCCATTTTGACTGATTCTATTTGACTGTATCCGTCAAATATAACAATGATATTTTCTTCTCATCTGCCGAAATCAATTGCAAACAAATGGTCACATTTTTTTCTCTATCGTTCTCATTATTAATGCATACAATTAGGAAGGAGGAGAAAGAGAGAGATGCGAGGAAATTTTTCTTAGAGATTATATCTTTCTAGAAGGTTAATTGTTTTATGTGAGTATAGTGCTTTTCAAAGTTTCTTCAAGTCGAATGAACTGTGCAAAACATTTAATTTTTTCTTCGGTTGTTCAAAGACGACTATGTATTTTCTTTTACGCAAAAAGACTTCTCTCGATATTATCTCCTCTACGACCAAGTAGCCAATTTTCAAGCAATAAACAGTACTAAGATAATTACTTAGGTACACAACGATTACAAATAGAACTACTTATTGTTTGATTAAGATAAATGATCTACTGAGTAATTCGGAATAACTGAATATATGATAGTAAAAGAAAATCGAGAGAGAGTTCGAATAGAAAATAAACTTACAAGAAAAATCAGCTAAGCCTAAACGATCAACTGTCTTAGGTTTTCAGAGAAAAGAAATCAACTATAAAGATAAACTGAGTCAGATTCAAATTAAATCAACTCCGTTTTTGGAAGGTAATATAGATAAAACATGCACGAGGAGATCATCACCGGAAACAAGGTTTGTTCATCAACATAAATGATATTCATATAATCTATATCGAAAAAGATAACGTAGAGGAATCTGACTCAATATCTAACGAATCTACTTAAGTATTCTGTGCGCAGCTAGAATAAATAAGAGATCGCCTAATCAAAATATTAATCAAGAAAAATAATGATAATAATCATTAAGGAGAAAGAAG